TTCACTCATTATAAGAAATTTGTTATGCTTTTTGGAATATGTACAAAAAAGAAGGATGAGTGTTCCGAAATAATGGTCCTCCGCAAAGCTCTAACTTTACCTATCTTCCTCAGTTTTCCGCTAAAAAATCTGTTGTTTTAGCAAACTTGCTCACAAAAATTTCTTTCTCATTAAGAAAACCAAAATTTGTGCATAGAAGAGGAATCGATCGAAATCATGCTCTACTTGCAGAACATCAAACTTTACCTCCACTTGCGACTAATTTGCTGGAGCGATGAGTTTTTTGAGAGGAAAGTGGACCAGAACATTTACATCCAAAGCAGATTTACCATGAGTTTTGTTGAAATTTCTCCCCGAAGAGTAAAAGTATTTTCAAAAACGAAGTCTATTTCGCAGAATGTCATCACCTCCCCTTAAAACAAAACAAATCAAACGCTAATTTTTGGCGGAAAAATCAGGTAAATTAAGCATTCGCATTAATTTTCTTCAGTTTTCTTAGATTTGAGTGGTAGAGAAAGATGAAATTGCCAAAACGAGGCTCTCTACTTCACCGATCGTCAAAATTTTCCTCTACTCGAGGCCACGATAGAGAATGAATTTTATAATGGAACTCTCAAAATGAGGAGCTACTCCTTGCAACGTCGGATTTCGAGAGCCCCTTGGTCCCCTCGGGACCAAAATCAATTGTATGCTAGCAAACCGTACCCCCATCCTATATTCGAAAAAAATGAGTTATTCATGAATTTCGCTGACAACTAAGCAAAAAAGTGATGAAAACTTTCAAATAAGAAACCCCACTCAACAGACTGTCGAATTTCGGCGACCAAAAACAATTGAATGCTCGCGAACTCTACCTCCCCTAGAAACCTGACCAGGGCTCGGCACAGGCTTGCAAAGCAAGCTGGATATCGTTTATGGGGGAAACAGCAAAGCGGATATCGTTTTTGCGGAAGAGCATAACGCTGTCTTTCGAACTGCTGCCGGCGCGCTGCCGGCATGCCGCCAGCAAATGAACGAAGGGTTTGTTTACAGCGAAGTGAAGATGAAATGGCGCCAAAATAGGTGTGTAGATGGATAATGGGAAGTTGGGACTATGTATGAAAAATTATGAAAAAATTATGTGAGCTAAGGGCAGGGCAAACTTTTTTAGGGGTTAGGTGGCTTTCAAGCCACCTGGATAGCCACCTGAGGTGGCTTAGCGCAAACAAAGTCATATAATTCCTATTCTTCACATAATTTTTTCAAATTTTTTACATAAAAGTAATCTACGTCTAATGTTCTACAAGACAGCTCTTGTACCTCCCCAAACCCTCTCCTCCCCGCATAGTTATAACCCTACAAACTATCTGGATGGCAGCGGCAAAGCTGCTCCAAGCTCGCGGTTGTGCGCGGCGGACACAGCATGCCGGCAACCCAGAGAATACAAACAATCACTAGTTTTTATTGCCTATTCATTGTCGGTCTTCTATTCTGTTTCATTCATTTTGTATTCATGTTTGATTTGCTCGTTAGCGTGTCAAGGGGATGTCGTACTTTTGTGGCGAAGTCAAGGGAGACTTCGTTTTTTGCATTTTCAACTAGCCACCTCGTGCCGAGCCCTGAACCTGACTGAAAGCTCAGTATACCGCTACGTACCATGTTCGAAAATGAGTTTTTCATGGATTTCTCTGACATTCAGCAAAAAAGAGATGAAACATTTCAAAATGTAACTCTACTCCATAAAAATTTCGCCGACCACGGGACCAAAATCAGTTGAATGCTCGCAAACTCTGCCTCCTTTCGAAACCTGACTCAAGGCTCAATTTACCGCTAGGAAGGTTCAGCCATGTTCGAAAAATGAGTTTTCTATGAATGTCCGTGAAAGTGAGCAAAAAAAAGGGATGAGGTTTTTCAAAATTATACATCGGATTTCGTGGGCCCTCGGGACCAATCAATTGAACGTGTGAACTCGACCTCCCCTCGAAACATGAATAAAGGCTTCTTTTACAGCTAGGAAGGTTCAGCCAAATGCAGAAAAATCTTTCTTAATCGCATGTTTGTACGATGGTGCCGAAGTGAAACGGTGATCTATCCTCCTGCATTACTTTGCGAAGTAACATGACTTGATGAATCCAGGATCAAACGTTTTGCAAATATCACATGAAAAAAGAGTCAAATAAGGCCATGAGCTCCACGCAGTGAAATACTGCTTGCATGTGTGCATGACAGTACAGAATGACTCAAACAATCAATAACAACTTTCTTCATACCCCATCGGCGACAGCCAATGTGACAGAAAGACAAGAGCTCTCCCCCAGAATAACGACTACATATATTAGGTTGATTCATAATTAATGCACGTTTTTCTCACCTCTTCTTCCGAGAGCTGGTATTTGATGTGTAATCAGTTCCCTTAAAAACTTTTTATGCTATCTGAAAGAGCGTTTTTTTTGTTTCTTAAATGGCCCTTCGCTTTCGTACATCTCCGTTCATTCCAAACTTCCGAGCCTTAAATGAAAGAGACTAAATCCTAAAAATTTTGCTTTTCACTCTTTTTGCCCTAAATCCATGAGCAATAGCCGGATGTAGGAAACTTTGTGCTACAAGACGCTATTTAAACAAAATTTTCTACGAATTTTGAGCCGAGAAATTCAATTGCGAACTTGAATGATGTCGCGGCCTTACCGTGCCATATAAAACTTTGAAGCAAAAGGCGATTGCAGGTCTTTTGCACTATCCAGCGAGGGTAGACCTGGTTCATTTGAGGGTAGAAAAGCGCTAGGGTTTTCTCAGTTTTCAATGGAGATAAATGAAATAATTTCAAAAATGACCGATTTAAAACCCGCCGAGATGCCAGAAAAAAATGAGTACTTTCAAATTTTTTGCGATATTTTCTTTAGGGAATTGTCCGTAAAATCCAAGCTCGGCATTGTTGCTCTAGAGACCCTTGGCTACACGATGAGCAAAGTTTGCTTTATCCTACTTCATTTCAACATAAGTTATGCTCTCTCAAAGTAGAGGCTTCTGAAAAAAGTTGTTGACAATCTTCAGGCGAGAAAATCCTTTTTTTCATAGATACAGTCACGCAAAAGTATCTGTTTTATAGCCACTGATTTGATGGTTACTATAGTTTTTACTGCGCCCAAAAATGTTTTTACAAAAAAGAATTATCTTGGTTGAAATTTGAAGTATAGAAAACGTGCATTAATTATGAATCAACCTAATATAATGTATATAGGTAATCGGCAAATCTAGAATTCAATGTTTTTGTGATAAGCGTGCACACATACATCCCTGTGCCGAATCTTAGCCGCTTAGCTCAATGCTGAAAAATTTCCGCTCCGCTCCGGGACCCGTAGTGCAAGCACCCTCGCCGACATAATGGCTTCTGGCCTCTCCTCTCGCTATCACTGAGCGCCGTTATATTTTCGCATTCCTTTTCCGGAATCCTTAAAGGGACCGTCAAAATCCCAAATTCAATGTTTTGTCGCCTTCAGGCCTTCTGAAAGCCCTGATTCCCAATATGGAATCGAAAATCCGCGAAACCCCGAAAAATCCCTGTTTCGAGAACCCTCTGCAACAAGCGCAGGCGAGATAAAGCATGCAAGTGGGCGGGGCGACCGGGGTCACCCCGCCCACTTGCATGAAGCAGTCTTTTGCGGCGAAGCTTGGAGGTTTGTCTAGTATGGGGGCACACACTAGTATGCCATCATAATCTCGCCAACCTCCATTTTGGGTGGACGGTGCCTTAAAGCAACCGGAACCTCCTTCATGCATGGAGATAAGGATAGGAGGGACGCAGAATACTCTGCCGTCGCACTTGAAAGGATCCAGTGTACATTATAGTAAGGATATCTGCTTCATCGTACTTCTCAGACAGTCGAAGGGATACCTCCGCCGGGCAAATGGCGCGAGTCTGCCACTTCGCGCTCTGGAGCGCTCCGGAACCCTGTCATTTCACCAATTTTGGTGCTCCGGGGCTCTCCCAAATCTGGCGCACCTCTGGAGCGGAGATTTGCGCGTCCCGGAGAGGGGTCCCATTCGTTCACCGTGACGTCACGATGACGTCACAAGCAGGTCCCGGAGAGGGGTCCCTCTCCAAATCTCTGCTCCGGAGGTGCGCCAGATTTGGGAGAGCCCCGGAGCACCAAAATGGATGAAATGACAGGGCTCGTAGCGCTCCAGAGCGCGAAGTGGCAGAGTCGCGCCATTTGCCCGCCGGAGGTATCCCGTCGACTGTCTGAGTTACAAATCCTTTGATTGACCCATTTCATTCGTTCTATGATCTAAAACTTTCTTTCAAGACTTTTTGTTTTAGGATGTGGAATTTTTTCTTAATCTTGTAGTCTCACTAAAATTAAGGCTAAAACTACGATTCATTAGATCACAGCTCATTTCTGCTAAATATTCTTCTGTTCACTGAAGGCAACGTTTTTGAATAAAGTAAAGAGAACTTTAGGATTGATAATTTTCATAAACCGTGATTCAGGTAAAGGTTGCGGTCAAAGTCTACAGAAATGTTTTTACTTGATAGGAATATACTCGCCAGTAACTTCGTACTCAGCATATAGTGCATACATACAAAGTAACATGGAATACACCCGTAAATCTTTTTCGAAGCTGGAATACAAGAAAATGGGCTAATATTGTTGAGAGTCATGGGTCTTTGGGTATATGCTGAATGTAATATTTCTAGCTTACTACAAAACATAGAGTTAGAATTTTCGTATTTCTACTTCCAAAGGTTTTTAGTATACAATCTACATGTGAGGTGGGCAGCAGGATTGTGTTTGCAAAATTCAATTGTTATTTGTCTCATATTCTCGAACACAGCAAGTGCTACCGAATATATGTATAACCAGAAAGTTCGTAGTATTTTGAAGCTGAGGTAAGAACCCGGAACTTTTCCCAAATGTTACGTCTTATTGTCGATGTGCGAAAGTCATCTTGTAGAGCTCGGGTATAATTTTTACGGTCACGGTCACTTACTACTTTTCTCTCGTTAGGAAAAAACAACTCACTCTTTCTTTTCGGACACCACATAATTACTTTTCAGATCATCGGATATAGATGCAAACGAGTTCTCTTTCTGCGTGTTGGTAGTAGTATGGACCACCGACTTCAGAGGCGAGTTGTGTTGTATAGATTTTACTGTCATATGATTAAGTGCTGAAATTGACGTTATTTTATGCAACACTTATATCAAATCAGCACAAATTGATGCATGTTTTACAAGATTTTGATTGACTTTCTCTTACTCTATGAAACTTTTGGTTTTGTGCACAGCAAACCTTATCAACGTCAAATGTTTAGCAGGTCAGCGCAAACTAAGACAATTCAGCGGAGATTCCGCAAGACAAGCAATATTTGCAGCGGTTCCGCAGAATCGTTCACATTACAAACATGTGAACGTCGAAAATCCTTCCACAGGATCAGCCGGAGTGGTTAAAAACGGGAGTTCTCGCAGGACTTGTTACAGATCACTGCCAAAATTCCGAAAAATGTCAGCGGTTCCGCAACACTTTGTGTTGTTTCAGACTGCCGCACTGACCGCAGCTGACTGCAGCAGACTGCAGCAGACTACTGCAGCAGACTGCAACAGACCACGGGGCCGCACAGATCGCTGCATCCTTTCATGAAAGTGGAGAGGATAAATAGTTGTAGCCCGAACAGTCTCTTAACAATATTGCCCCAACAGACGACACGAGCGGGAGTAAAATGAGTATACGCAATGACAAAAGGAATCAGAGCAAATATGAGCATATTAAAGAGAAGCAATCGCCAAAAGTTGATTGAGAAGAGTAAGTTAGAAACTATGAACTTTTTAGGAGTAAGTCACGGTGCTTTGATGTATTCGCAACTGTTTTCTGTTTTACGAAAGGATGCAGCGATTGTGCGGCTGTTGCGGTCAGTGCCGTCAGCTGCAGTCTGCTGCAGTCTGCTGCAGTCTGCTGCAGTTATTGCGGCAGTATCAACCCTTTGGCCTGCCAATACTTCCGCAGATTTTCACAATTGTTGTCTCTTGCTATGTTGCCTTGGCAATAACTATAGTGCATTGCCGAAACATGTAATACGTAGTGTGTAGTGCAGAGGAAGGTAAGCGAATCTCGCAGTCAACAGAACGAGGTTCGAACTGCTTAGGTGTTCTCTTTTGCTGTTGTAGTCCGCACTCTTCAAAACTTCCGCAGCACGTTTACGGAACCCGCAGACCGGCGCAACTTCCAAAACGTTCTGTGGATGTTTCGGTTAGTTGTCTGAAAATCTGCTGATATCACAAATGAGCCTAACCTCTTTCTTGAAAAAAATATGTTCTTTCGATACTTCTGAGGAACTTTTTTGGAGGCAGATATCGATTTTTTCGAATGAAACAGGTTTGCTCGCAGAATAAGATTTCTGCTTATTTCGCCCTTTCGTAGGCCCCAATGTTTAGCGGACACTTTTGAGTTTATTCTGTAAAATGCTGCTAAAACTGCTTAATTCTCCTGCAAATCATGCAGACGGCATGCCCTGCATGCTGCATGCCTTACTTTTATTCTCACAGAAAAAAGCAAGACTTTGGCTCAGTCTTTTTCAGAAATTATTTTCTTGCCATAATGTAGCTTCAACAATCATTTTCCTTTGGGCGCCAGTCTGTTTTCGACAGAAGTATGCTCACCCTGCAGAATGTAAGCAACTGCTGTGGTAACAGTAGCTGAGTATGTTTTTGGGAAGAAGCTATTATTTTCTGTATCATTGGGATAGTGGCAGATAGTGGACGAGGCACTGAGCTCTGCATCTCTCGCGCGACCATGCTCTCTAATCATTTCTCAGTTGATCAGCAATCGAGGCTCAGCCCTCGACGCCACTTCCAATGAAACAGAGGGTACTTGTGCTTGAGTTCCTGTTAGGAAAGTATATGTGAAGAAGTTCCTCTGAGACTAAAAAAGTTTTGTAACATTTTGGAATGAAGAAAAAGATTTGCTCATGCTAGCACAAAAGAGAGCAAGCTGTCACGAGAAATTTTTCCTTTCAATAAAGAGAAGTTTTTAGAAAGCACGCGCTAAAATGCAATTTTGCTCCAACTTATAGCTCCAACAAGGAAAGGTCGCGAAGCCAAGGTGGCCAATCACCTTAATGTATAGTTAGGAAGAACTTAAAGCGCTGTTTTCAAATCTGACTTCCATATCTGCAGACCTCTACAATGGTCGGCTGCCTCAACGTGGCGTGGGGGTGACACTGGGTGTCGAACTGCGATGCACAGCGTGTATACTCTGGCAGGGCACCCAAGCTGTGAACGAGTTCGACGTTCCCGGTTGCGGCCGGATGCCTGGCTAAGAGTCGGCCAGGCCAGATCCATCGCCATCTGGTTTTCTGGTCGCTAAGCGGTTTTCCCCGCTCCAGGCCTGGCGACAACGATCGGCCCGCGGAAATCAAGAGTAGGCCTAGTAAGTTTACTCTTGTAAGGGAACAAATCCTCAGTCCGCAAGAAGATATAGAAAAAACCCTGTACATCGGAGCCCGCCTGAGGCGTCTTTTGGTAGCAAGAACGATGTCAGGGTCCCTAGGGCGCCTTTTGGATCGGACAAAAACGACACGTCTGCCCGGACGAGAAGAACCCATGGAGACTGCCTCATGCTCTGCACCTACAACCAACGCTCTTCTCGACGCTGCCGAGCACATCAAGTACCAGTTTATCGCTCTGCAGGAAACGAAGTCCAGGAAGAAGAAGTGGGACAGATGAGTGATGGTACATTCATCATTCATGGTGAGAAGGTTCCATCACAAAAACGTTGGAGGCGTTGGGCGTTGGCTTGTCGTCCAAACATCTATCGTCCATCTTGCCGATTCGCCTGAGGTCCTATCACCATTCTACGACTGCGACCTCCACGTTAGAAGACCATCAGCATCATCAACTGCTATTTTCCAATATCAGAATAGGACCTCAGGCGAATCGGCAAGATGGACGATAGATGAAAGTCTGTCACAGTGCCGCAAGAAGAAAGGAAGTGGTTATGACGGTGACAAGGTGGAAGAGCCCATATTAAGTTGTGACTGGCCCATCGAGGACTCAACGTAGGACTACGACCGCCTTTTCAAAGGATTGCGAGCCTGCGGAGAGTGCGCCTTAGTGATTTCTGAGAAGAACTTGGAACGTAAATCGAAGACCATCAAGAATTGCCCGAAAGAAGAAGATTCCTGAGGTAGGATCCGAACGCAACCCATCTCGAGCGACTGATAGCCAACGCCAGCTCAGAACAGCTTTGCAGGAGGATCTCAAGACGTACAGGCAAACCAAGATACTGGAAGCAGACGAAGGAAGACGAAAACTGAAGAAGTGCCGTGAGGATTTCTGTGAATATCACGTGCCGCGCATTATTGAACGAAAACGGGACCCGGACTTCTTTCCAATACAAGATGGAATCTATCGCGAACTTCTAAACTAATCTCTTTCTCTCATCAACACTGATGCCCGTTGTTCCCATTGGAGAAGTACCACCACGAATTCTATCTGCTGAAGTGCGCGCAGCGGCAACGTCAAGAACCGTCATTCTCTTCAAAATGGGTGAACGAGAGGATCCTTGGAACTGCCGTCCAATTTGCTTGCTGAGTATGCTGTACAAGCTTTCACGAAAATTATCCTCGCTCGCATATCTAGGACGCTGGATGGAGCCCAACCCCAAAAACAAGCTGGATTTCGCAAAGGATTCAGCTGCATGGACCACATCCAGACGGTTTCGAGGGTCATAGAAGTCTGCCGGTACCGACTGCCTCTCGTCCTAACCTTCATCGACTACGAGAAAGTCTTTGACAGTGTCAAAACCAACGCTATCATGTCTGCGCTAGTCGATCAAGGAGTGGACCCAGCTTACGTGAGGACACTAGCCAACTGCTACAAGGACTGTACAACAACGATGCAGCTATTCCATCGCCCCTGAACATTCCATTTGGGAAGGGGGTTCGACAAGGCGACACTATTTCGCCGTAGCTGTTCACCGCGGCCTTGCAGTGGGTGATGAAGTCACTGAACTGGGACGAGAGAGGCATACGAGTTGATGGGAGATTCCTGCCGAACCTTCGTTTTGCAGACGACATCGTTCTGAAGATGCTGAAGGAACTGAACGAAGTAGTCAAGAAGATTGGATATAAATCGGAAGAAGATTCAGTTCATGAAGAACGCCCTTTGCGAAGATGCAGAAATGGAATTGGAAGGCACCCTATCAAGGAGACGTCTTCTTACGTGTATCTCGGACGTTCGATGAACATGAAGAATGACTTGAGGGAAGAACTCAACAGGAGAAGAAGAACAGCCTGGGCCGTCTTCGGGCCTCTAAGGAAGCCCCCGACCAACCAACGTACCCGGAGCTTCGTGCCACCTGTTCGACCGTTCTCCCGGCACTCTGTTACGCAGCTGAGACTTGGGCCGACACTGTAGTCGCGTCAAAAGCTCTAAGGACCACCCACAGAGCGCTTGAGCTTAGTCTTCTGAAAATGAGCCGACACAAACAGCATCTTGTCGGACTTCGGAGTACGGATATGAGAAGAATGTACCGTCTTCGTGACCCAGCGGATTACGTTGCAAAACGAAGCATCGATGGGCCGGTCACATTATGAGAAGAACAGATGACAGATGGACACTAAGAACGTCGGAGTGGATTCCTCGCGAAGCAAAACGTCTCCGAGTGAGGCCCCGGACAGACCACACGATTTGATCGTCGCAACTCAATCGCCGACTTTTCCATTCATTTTCATTCACATTCAAAAATTTCGGGCTGGAAAAGCATCACAACCTAAAGGCAAGTTGATCGGCATGGAATGATATTGTAACAGTTGTCTCGTCGCGATTCAGTCGCGACGATCAGATCGCGTAAAGTCTGTCCGGGCCCAAGACCTCCAACGAGATGGGCAGACGTGTCCGTGGAACGGATGGATAGCTGAGAAATCAGCTGGATGATTTTTGCACCTGGAATTCGTGGCCGCAGCCACCGACATCAGCCAAAAAGATCGTAGATGTCTGAAGCGAAAGACAGGGAGAAATGGAAATTTCTGTGCTGGGGCCCGCACGTCACGCAAAGCCAGGCTATCTTAGTATCTAAGTAAGTATGTCTGCAGAACGCTTCTAGGAAGGAAGACATAGACTGTAATTTGCCGGAAATCTGCAAGGATGAGAGTAGCCAGAACCAATACCGAAGCATGTTGGGTTTAAACCTATTTGAAACACTTACTTTGAAAATTATCCTTTAGCGCAAGGAGCAATTTGAACGACTTTGATTATTCGTAGCCACTCAATACCATGCAAATTATGATGATAAAAACACCCATAACCTCCTTTCCAAAAGTTTATGCAGATACGAAAGGCAGATTTATCATCGCTCCAAGCTCTTCGTTAGGAATGCATCTTGTAAAGGACCAATTTTCCGCGACATTCCCTTGTCCCCTGCATTGGTAGACTTTGAAAAGGTGTTTGATACTTTGCGAGAAAGAAGCAGCAAAGTGTTTAGAATCGAAAAAAAAGATTTCTGCGGGCCTCCTGGTCCCGACTAGAAGACACTAGCTACCTACACATACACCATATAACGCGTACGATTCAATCCCTGGATATTCTTCAAAAAAAACATTAGAACTCACGATTTTCTATTGATTGTGTTGACAATCCGGGCTTGCTGCTTGCTTTTTCATTTTGTTGAGTCTGTTCAATTACGCAGACATCCACTGAAAAAGCAAAGCATTGCATTCTGCAATATCCCACCTAAGAATTTGAGTTGTCTTGAAATCGTGCTTCAAATTTCCATCTGCCCCACCCACTTTCATTGTGTGGGCGTCATGGGTGGAAGATCAAAGCACGATTCCAAGATTTAGCCCACGAATTTGAAGGTGGGATTGGGGCTATCGTGCATTTGGAGGCTACAAGCACCGGAATCCGAAATGGATTCATTCTGCCGGGCCATTGCCTTCAAAAGCAGCGTCCAAGCAAATCCGGACTTATGGGGATTTTATCTGGAAAGTAATTTCGTGTCCTTACTAAGGCACTGCCCAAGCGGCAGCGCAAATGACTCGCTAACGGCTGATATACGCCTCCAGACCGGACCCCAGGATCGTATTATCGGACGACTCGCATCGTGTTTGCATGCTTTGCGCGAGTACCCTTGCGAATCTAATGTGTTGCGCCATAAATCCATGCGAAATACGATCCTGGGGACCAGTTTGGAGGCGAATATCTCAGCAGAGCACCATCTGAGCTGCCGGGTGGGCGGTGTTTTAGTTAGGGTCCCAAAATTACTGTCCACGTGAGACTCCCATATGTCCAGATTTGCCTGGAGGCTGCCTTCAAGAAAATCAAAAGACAAGGTGCGACGTGCACGACGAGCTAAACGAAGCCGCGCGGTGTGGTTGTAAGGTACGTATAACGCTTCTAACGGGGCATAGGTGCGATATTGTGAGGGAGGCGTGCAAGTGTTACCCATCCAGCCGCCAGAGCAGAAGCGCACTCTCGTCGTCCGCAACCTTTCGCAGAGAGATTTTCGCAGCAGCCTCGCACCTCATCGCGCTGTGGTGCGAGAATTCCCTCAGAGGTCGCGCTATGCCACATATCATATATCGATCAAGGCAGCAGAAAACTTGTTGTTTATTAGTAAGATGCAAGACAAAAAATACACAAAACAAAAAAGTTTGGAATAAATATCACAAAGAATCGCAAATAAAAATACAATTAAATTAACGGCTTAGCTTTCACATTCGCACTGCTATCAAATAGTCTCTGTGACGAATTTGGACGTTTTAATACAAAAATTATTTATGGAAGTTGTAGGTATGTAGTTCCCGGACTCAAATTCTTCTCTAGAGCTTCGCATCGCGTCAATGATCTTATCCCGGCGCTTTTTTTCTTTTATACCTCCATATGTGGCACAGTTTTTCTAATATCTGACCTCTTGGGTGCTAGAATTCTTATGCCCCCCCCCCAAAGGTCACAACGATGTGCCATAAAAGCTATTCAATAATCTGTTCTATAATTCTTTTATGAATTTATTCCATACCAGTGCGTCACCTCTGCTTCGCAGAGGCTCGCACTGGTCCTACTCTATATGCCTTACTTATTCTTGCCTAATAATGGCTTTGAAACTCACCGCGCAATGCCGACTATCGCGAATAAAATGTAAACAACTATTCATTCTAAAGACTTTTTCATGTAAGATCGGTGATTTCAGGTGGATATAGCTTTACGCAGAAGAACAAATGCAAATTTGAATAGGTTTTGAAACTTTTTTGGCTTGGTAATCGCCATGAGGACAGTAGTCATCGTGAGCCACATTTCTATGCCAAAATCTTTTCAGTTGCTCAGGTAAAACCATGGCGAATTGACCATTTACGCGACCATTTCTTTTTGGCGTCGTTTTCGTAAAGTAGCAAACCTTTGTTCACTTTTCGGTCTAAAGTCCATGGCTTACAGATCAACCTGCTAAATACATCCACGGCTTTGCAAAAAGCGTTGATACGGACCCAGTTTTGCGGGCCAGAAGCCAAGTGGATTCATTTGACGTGCAAATTCTAAGGGACCCACCCAACGAATCCGTTCGTGCTTTTTCTCTGTCTGTCACGAAATTCGTAGAGCGTGTTCCAGCCAACGTCCTGAGCCCAAATTTTGCATAGCGCACGCTTCCAGCATGAAAGCTCACTATACAAAAGCATGAGCGGATCCGTTGAGGGATCCATTGAAAATTGCGCGTCAAACGGATCCACTTGGCTTCTGGCCAGCAAATTTGGGTCCGTAATACTACTTTTTGCAGAGCTAAGGATATATTTGACAGCTAATGTGCAAGCCATAAACATTAGCCTAAAAAAGTAATGACAAGTCTACTACTTTACGAAAACAGCGCCAAAAAGCATTCGCTGTGTAAACGGTCAATTTTTCAAGTTTTTACCTGATCATTTGAGAAGATTTTTGTACAGAGATGTAGCCCACTATGTTTATTGTCCTTACGGCAACTACCAAGCCATAAAAATCCCAAAAACCTTTTCGAATTTGCATCTGTTCTTCTGAGAAAGATTTTATCCACGCGAAAATACCGATTTCACATGGAAAACCTTTACGAATGAATAGTTGTTTACGAATTATTCGTGATAGCCTACATAGCGCAGTGAGTTTCAATGTCATTATTATGCGGGAATGAGTAAGGCACACAGAAAATAGGGCCAGTGCGAGCCTCTGCGAAGCAGAGGTGACGCACTGGTATAATATATGTGCCATAGCGCGATCTCCGAGTGAGTCCTCACATCTCAGCGCGATGAGGTGCGAGGCTGCTGCGAAAAACTCTCCGCGAAAGGTTGACGACGAGAGCGCACTTACTATCACAGCTCTGGCAGCTGGCGCGGCACCAGGCGGCTGCCTGGGTAACAATTGCTACGACCCATAGTGTGAGAGTTTGCTTCACCCCTAACCGGGACCAAGGTGACTCCCTTCATAAACCGAGAAAAAAACAACAGTGAGGTAAGGTTAAGCAAAGGAGATATTTGTACAGGAATTGTTTATGTATCGGAAAGGAAGAAGAAGATTCATAGGCATTCACGAACGGAAAAAAATAGTAGCATCTGTAGCTGCACAGCAATGTCAGCGAGAAGAGTTCCATGATACAACGTTTTGCTCTAGCTTCAGGGAATAAATAGTTCGCCTAGATTCGTTAATAGAAGTACCTAGTGAAAGGTGTGGCTAGTGACTTCTGGACACTTACAAGTTTTCAACATTAATAATTCATAAATTCTGTAGATGAACAACTTGTACAAGTAATTCGTCACCGTCGAAACCGCCTCGTCCTCCGCTTTCAGAAAATATATAGCATGTCTGAAATCCGTCCGAAAAAGTGCCTGGGTGAAGGGTGTGCTTAGTGACTTCTAGAGATGTTCAAGTTTTTTACATAAAAAAATTCATAACTCTTGTAGATAAACATCTTGTACGCCTAGATGGTTACCATTGGAACCGTCTCGTTCTCCGTCAAAAATATATACTCTGGCTTCGTCCGTCAAAAAAATTGCCTGGTGAAGGGCGGGTGAGACTTTTATAATGGGAGTTCTCAGGTGGAGGCAACTTTACCATTATAAAAAGACGTCTACTTGAGAACTCCCATTATTTGTCGCTCGTCTCAAGCACCTTTCACTTGGCACTTTTTTTAACGGACCCCAGGCAAAGCATAAATTTTCTGAAAGCAGAGGACGGGATGGCTCCAGGGGTGACCATCTCTATGTACTATCCGTTCATCTACAAAAGTTATGAATTTTTTTATGTAAAAACCTCGAAAATCTCTAGAAACCACTAAACACACCCTTCACCCAGGCATTTTTGGACGGATCTCGGACATCATATACATTTTCTGAAAGCTGAGGTCGAGGCGGTTCCGACTGTGACTATTTTCCTGTACATCGTTCATCTAAAGAAGTTACGAATTTTTTATCCTAAAAACTCGCAAATATCCAGAAATCACTACCCACACCCTTCACCAGGCACCTTTTTCATCAGACTTAGGCAAACTATGTATTCTTTGGAAGCGGAGGACAAGACAGTTCTGAAAACAGTAAGCAATAAAAGATCTATGAAAGCATAAGAGCATCGTTTTCGCAATTAGCATGTCAAATAACCCTTGTGGGCCAAGTTTCAGAGAATTCTGAGGTTTCCAGATATTGAGCCACTCAAGTGAGATAGTCATTTTCGATCATGTCAACTTTGTTTCAGAGATGAGTTAACTATTGGCTGCTGCATGACGAAGGCGCAATATCTTTAGGCGCAAACGTGGGTTCATTAGCCGCAGAGCGCATGAGGCGCAGGATTTACGACGATGAACATACGCGCGCAGCGTTCGCGCCCGCTCATATTAACTCAAAAAGCTACCATTTCTTTGCTTACTTTGAAAATCCTACTTCAATTAACCACCAAATCAAGGGAACAAGAGCAAGCCAAGATGTCGGTTCCATTCGTCACCTTCAATATCTCAGAATAAAGAAGATCAACCAGGCTCAAATCACCTTAATGTAAATAATGAGGCTTAGACTATCCAGAATATATTCTTGCCGCCTTCCTCGCGATTTAAGTAGTAGAGCAGAGCATGTTACGGTAACCCAATATTTTCGCAGTATTTTCCATTTGCATGGGTAAGAAAAAACGATTATATCCTTATTTCAGAAGAAACAATTTGAAATGAAATTCCTACTGTGTAAAGAAGAAGGTTAGGCGGTAACAAGGATATAAAACGCAGATTTAATAATGATTTGCAGGTGAGTTAATGAGGGCGGCACAACCCCTGAAAAGCTGTGGCAGCCACTGCTTTTCTGGAGTGTGCCACACCTTAACTTACTTCCGAAGAGGATTTTAAGGAACAAATTGTACACTGTTTTATCAAGAATCTCGTAGTTTTTTGCAGAAGTGATTAGAGCTAATCGTCTTCTTCCATTTGAGCAAAAGTTGCTGGAAGCACAACCACTGCGAGCGAAAGATGGGACAAACGAGATTTTGACTGGCTTCTAGTTCCATAGTTTGAAGGTTATTTAAAGCAGGGTCTATAGTTTAGGCGAAAATGAAGTAGTGCTTTATATTGAGTACATAAATCATGACTTATAATAACCGGCTAAGCATGTTTACGTCTTTTTGTCTGTGTGTGTGTGGGTGTGTCTGTCCGTTACGAAATTCGTAGAGCGTGTCCCAGCCAACGTCCTGAGCCCAAATTTTGCATAGCGCACGCTACCAGCATG